CGCAGAGCGGCTAGGCCCGTGAGCCATGGCTGCTGAGCCTGCGCGTCTGGAGCCTGTGCTCCGCAACGGGAGAGGCCACAACAGTGAGAGGCCCGCGTACAAAAAAAAAAAAAAAAAGTAACCACCTTAACTTTGTTAGACAACACAACTCAAACTACATCAGATGGGATACAACTGAAATGAGAAGGAGGTACAATTCAATGGAATAAAACCAGGGGAAAGGAGGGAAGAATGAGATATAAATAGGGACGTCAGAGATGTAAAATATGATTAACAACAATAACAAAGGATGCAGTGACAGAATTTCTTGAGGCTAATACTTTCTCTAGATGACAGACAATTTTACTTTGTCTCCAATCCTGCATAATTTTATATAAGAAATAGTCTTTACTTTCATTTAAATGATTCTAAATTATGTTCAGCTGCTATGGGCGTGGGGTGGGCACGGAATAAATCAGGAAGTGAGGATTTAATTGGCGCAAAAGAAGAAAACGTTACTTATTTGATGTCATTTTGGGCGGCAGGAGAGGAAGAGGAAATTTTTTGTCATGCTTAGTTCCAGTGTTTTGCCAGAGAGTATGACAGAGCATTGATAATACATCGCATGCTAATACGTACATCAATATCTACTTCTTCAGGTCTGTATTTGTATAATGTGCCTCTACATTCATCCTGTGACAGCTATAAGGGAAAATGTCATAGAGTAACTTTAAAAATAATTTTAAAAATACACATTTAATTAGCTTATAGTTAATATTTTAGATTTATATAACAGTAACAAAAATGGGTTTTTAATGATTCTTATACTTTTAGAAGTTTAATTCAAACACAGATCATTACAAAAATAGAAAATTATTTAACAGTGATACAATATGCAAGATACATAAGAATGATGTTAACTTAGGCTTGTCAAACAAAATAATAAGCTGGCCAAACAAAATCATACAGCACCTTACATTTTCCATTTGCGAGACACACATTATTTAAATGAAAAATTGACAAATACAATCGTAGCAACTGTGTTGAATCAAATTTTGAATCAGGCATATTTCAACAGTCAAAACCGTACCTTCACGGTATACACATAATCACACAACTGTGTATGTGTACACTCAGATGCCAACATATCTTAGTACAATATTATTAACAAAACCTATAACACGTTGTATACATATACATAATATATAAACACACATACACAATATAGACTTATCTTGTTCCTCTGTCTTAAGAACTAAAAGATAATGGAAGAAAAGGATGGGTTTAATCGAAAAGGGGTAAAGCACTCAAAAACCTCTTAAAATTGAAAGCCTACTTATAAACTATGGACAGTCAAATTGCATAAAAAGTTGGTTATGTGTTTGCTGACACCATTTGCTTCATTATATTGTAGTGAATTATTATTCAGTGTATTTAAACATCCTTTTTTCAGCTTCTTCCAAATATCTTTTGGTCAAGCAAATCCTCATTTCTGATAGTGTTTACCAAGATTTCAATAAGCCATCCCAATCAGTTATACCCCAGGTCACATCATAGCGCCTCTGCAGGCAAAACTGCACTATCTCTCTTGTCTTTTAACTTTATATTGACTGCTAGACAGTAACAAAAACATAGTAGGAAAATGTAATTGGGGCTCATTGCATGTTTGCTAAATGGTATACTTTTTCTCCAAGTGGGGATAGGAGTAATGTATCCCAACTACATTCTAGATTTGAAAATTAAATTTCGTATATACATATACAAATGCACAAGAATGTAAAAGTTACAACTATGTATGACCTGTCTGTAAAAAACTGCTTGACATTTACATCTCAAGAGGCATAATTTAAACAGCAGATAACTTTAATTGGGTCTAGGAATGTGGGAATCAGGAGATTAAAAATGTAAGCATTCCAAACATACAATAATAAATCCTGGATTTCCATGTTTCACTTCAAGACACTGCTTTCACGTACCTCATGCAAATGATTCTGTGACTACTTAGGGGTATACACAGTGATCATTAAGCCACAAAACTTTCATGGAAGTGAACATCACATGAAAAATGAATTTAATGACAGAAGTCCGAATACTTGTGCACCATTTTAAAATAAAGACCACTGAATATGTCCTGAGAAGCGTCAATTGTCACTCTAAATGAAAGCACCTAGAACCAAGAAAATAATTTATATTCCCACTTGAAAAAAGGAAGTAATGAAAAATAAGTTTTAAAATGCTTAGATCCAGAATAAAAAATGTGAGATAATGCTAAAATGAGTATTTCTCATTTTTAAGAAATAAAAGATGTAAAGCCTTAGCTACTAAATGTCTACATATACTTTGCTTATTTAATATTTAAAGTTAAACGCCAAACAGCTTTACTAAACCATGGAATGCATGATTTGAACATAACTAGTGGCTAGTGCTATATCTAGATTAAAATATGCTTTGTACCCTATATCCCAGGGTCAAAAGAAAAAAAGACAAGTATTTTAAAATGGAAACTTAGAATTTGTAAGAAATATTTAGGGTAATGGTTTAATATTTTTATTTAGGGAATCTTACTGCATATTCATTTTCATATCAGTTGGCATATTATAAAAAAGAAAGATGTGTACTGTGTACTTATAACTTTAGAGTGGTATCTCCTTAAAGCCACAGAAATAATATTACACATATAAATTAGATTTATTTTGTTGTACCTATATTTTTGGTACCAATGAAAATTTATTTAAACCTTTTATCAACTTATTCAATAAAGATAATTAAATATCAACTAATAAAAATCTTAAAATAATCAACCTTCCACTATACTGAATTCATTTCTTTTGCCTGTCAGAAGGAAAGCATAAGAAAACAAGATTATTCTTTAAATAATTAACTTTTAAGCATGGCCTATTTCCCATTACTGATAATAATTACTGAAGTTTTTCTTAAGAAGAGATGAATATAATTTTTTTTTAAATTTATTTTTTGACCATGCTGCATGGCTTGCGTCATCTTAGTTCCCCGACCAGCGACTGAACCCGGGCCATGGCAGTGAAAGCGCAGAGTCCTAACCACTGGACAGCCAGGGAATTCCTGAATATAATTTATTTAAAAAATTTCCATCTAGAATTGAAGTTTACTATTTTGTCCTCAATATGAAAATTCTACTAATAAGAAAAATGTAATTTCATGAATATTCTGATTAACTCAAGTTCTGCATGAAATAATGTTTCATGGCAATACTTTTTAGCATTTTTCAAACTCATCTTTAGCAAAAAAGCTCTGAGTTTGAATACGTTTGTTTGAGGTACCTCAGCAACACTAGAAAAGTAAGTGAAAGGGGGCTACATAGTAATTATATAAGCTTGAGCAGTGCTCAAGCTTCAATCTGAGAAGCGTATTATACAGACTACTGACTATATAAGGATATGTATATTATATTTAGAAAGTTAGAACTTTTTCATAGTAAGGTATCTTTTAATCTTTTTAAAAACTGGTTTGGCATTAAGTTAAAAGAAAACCACTTTTGCCAATTAAAATTCAACTTTCTATAGTATCCCTTTTTAAGTATGTGAAATATATATATGTGTATATATATTTTAAAAGCATATGAATATATATACAAAACACAAAAAAAGACTTTTGGGGAAATATTTGATAAAATTAGACTTTAATTTCTATGAAAACTCAAAAATGCTCGTTGGACTGTATATATTTGCTAATTAGTCTGTAACCTTTAAAGCAATTATTTATCATGTGACTAATTTCACTGATATTAAGTAGGTTATAAAAATTCTGGTACATGGGCTTCCCTGGTGGCGCAGTGGTTGAGAGTCAGCCTGCTGATGCAGGGGACTCGAGTTCGTGCCCCGGTCCGGGAAGATCCCACATGCCGAGGAGCGGCTGGGCCCGTGAGCCATGGCCGTTAAGCCTGCGCGTCCGGAGCCTGTGCTCCGAAACGGGAGAGGCCACAACAGTGAGAGGCCCGCGTACCGCAAAAAAAAAAAAAAAAAATTCTGGTACAAAATTGTACTCGTGAAAGATGGTAGAATGATTAATAAACGCAGAGGAGTTTTTCAACTTGAAGCTCACTTAGCATTTGTTTTGATTCAGTTTTAGGTTCTTTTTTTGAGTAATTTTAAGAAAATTACTGGGACTTCCCTGGTGGTCCAGTGGTTAAGACTCCACGCTTCCACTGTACGGTGTGGGTTTGATCCCTAGTAGGGGAACTCGATCCTGTACGCTGTGTGGTACAGCCAAAAAATTAAAAAAAAAAAATTACTGCCCAGGTAATTTCTCAGGTGTCCTCCTTCTTCTAGGAAGATGTAAACACAGAGGTTCTCCTGAGAGAAAACCTGAATGGCTATGATTCAGAAAAACTGGTCATAAAACACTATATTGCCACTTTATTTTCAGCTAAATTTCAGGAACCTATTAACACAGCATTGCAATGCAATGTCAGAAAAGCAAACCATCAGGTGTACAATATAAACTTTCACAAAGGTTTTCTTTGAATAATAACATGATAATGGAAATCTGGAGAAAAAAAGATGTGACTTCAATTTACAGAAGTTTATATTAACAAAGTTTAAGAAATGCATCTGTCACTTTTATCTATCAATGATGCTCTGCCATAATTAAGTACTTTACTACTGGCTGATTAAAGAAAAGTATCATCTAAAAACTCCCTAGATTTGATAGCACTGACAGTCAATATTCATTACCTGGCTGCCCATGTCATGCCCAGGCATGGCTGCTGCTGTTACACATTCAGATCTTCCTGTTCTATACAATATCAGGTTGTTTTCTTTCAAGTATCAAGATGAGGAAATATATTTATATGAATCTATTACTCTTTCAGTATTCAAGGTTACTGATGCTATATAAGACCAGTCTCAGATACCTCCACATTTTTGAAGGACTCCAGTAAGAACTTTTAGTGCAACTGAGTGATTTCAATCAGCAATGACTTCTGCACCATCAACCTTGATTACCGATCAATATAAAAAAAGAAAACCCAAACCAAATGGAACAGAAAATCCCAGCTCTCATTCTTACTGTAAATATACAAAATGTGAAAAATGAAACCATAACCTATTAAAACAGAAGGCCTTTGATCTCACATCAATCAGCATCATATAAAATTATAAGCTGACAGCTTCAGACACTGAAAAAGGTATCAATTCCAGAATAAGTGCTAAGGCTGTCAGTGTGGCTTTTTGGAATGAAGTGTCAAGATTCTAAAATCTGGTGACTTTAAAAGGAGTGGTAAGATTCCATTTTCTTTTGAAAAGAAAAGCTGTTTAACTTTAAATATTTAATACTTTATCTCCTTATTGCTAATTAAAAACTATGCTCAGTCACATAACATACTTTAAATGTTTTGAAAACTGTGCTCAGAAATAAGAGTCACCCACCCACCAACTGTTTCAGTCTTCCAGTTTACAAGGCCCATGATGCAGACCCTCAAGGCACCCGATGCAAACCAGAGGCCTTTAAAGCCAGTGCGAGCTCAAGGTGCTTCTTTTTACCAGGTGCTTTTACATATTTTAATCAAAATATATATTCATTTTTCATGTTAGTTAATTTTCTCCCTCTGTATGATTTTTAAAATACTGTAACAGGTCATAGGCCACAGTAATTTGAGGGGGTTGAAGTGGAAGAAGCTGATGTTGCAAAACACACAGCTAAGAACATTTAGACCATGAAATACAAAAAAACTGGAGAGGAATGTATAACATGACTTCTTTTGCAGATCTGCAGATTACCAAGGTCCTAAATTAAAGCCAGCCAACCCCATGGCACATATTTTGAGTTAGGGAAAAGAATGGGGTAAGATATGATGATCATGATGACTACTACATAAGAGGGAAAAGAATACGGGGAGAAGATACTCCCAGTATGGTAAGAAATGGCTATCTTTAGTTTTTACCATACCACAGTACATAAACAACCTTTAAATAACTCCCATACAAATATAATCTATTCCTAAAACATTGGGGTGGGGTGGGGTGGGGTAGGAAGGCAGCCCCTGAAAGGAAAAAAATATTTTTTAAAAGTTTTCCCTAAAAATCAGTTAGGCTTTTAGAGTTAATCAAAATTAATGGCAAGTTCGTAAAAATTTTGCAAGTGTACTGCAGACCTCCAAGTACATATCAATCAAATACTCTGCACAAAAACTTCAGGAAAATGGCACACTTAATATCCAACAGCGAAATGTTCAGCAAAGCCATGCTAAGAACTGCAGCATCTTGAAAAGCACGGATGAATTGCGTTTTTCCCAAAAAGACAGAAACAAAAAATGGAATAAGAAAAAGACTAATGTTATGAGTAACTCTGAGGATAAACCAAAACTGTCACTGAGGGATTTTGCGGATGATAAAGCAGTGTCATTCACTGTCCAAGACCTTACTTGCTGGTACAGTTGGGGTCTTAGCGCCGAGTTCTCAATCATTGTGTGAACCATGGTGATAATAGGTTCATTTTCTTTCATCTATTTCAAATCAGGAGGAGCATACAGCAAACATCAGTTTACAGCATAGCTAGATTTGAAAGACGACACTGTAAATATAGCCTCTACTTTAATATCTTCCTAATAGTGCAGTTGTTTACATATTATCCCAAGGTTGCATAGAATCAACTTACTATAAAACCATTTCAAACAAGTATTAAATGTTACAAAATACTTCCAAGGTTATAAAAAGGCTTACTAATTGCAATAAAGGTTTTACTTTATAAACATAACCAATATTGTCAATTAATGAATATTCCTATAATACTAGAATAGATAATAAAAGCATCAAGATTCAAGGGATAAACTAAAGGGTGACAACCTATAAACTTAAAAGGAGAAAAATGGCATGACTTAATCAATTACTTATATAGTAAAAAAAAAGCTTAAAATGATATTCAGTTCTTTATAAGGTTATTCAGAAAAATTTTAGTTCTCTACAAATAATAATATATCTTGTCACTTAGACAATCACACATTTTATTAATCTTGATAGACACTTATATATACTCTATTTTGGATTTTCTCAAAGTATAACACTGTATGCAGAATGATTTCCAAGACATGCAAACTAAAATTTATTCAGCAAAGACTAAGTGAATCTCCCTAGGTCCTTAAAAGGCTGAAACCATGTTTCACATTTCCAGCTATATTGTACTTAATTACTGCCTCTAGAAAAATATTTATTTTAGCAGGCTCTGGACTCAAGAATTAAAGCATTCAAAAGACAGTTTTATATATACATATATATATATATATATATATATATGTATACATATATATATATATGGTAAAAGGCCAACAAAGTTTGTACCATTTGTAAGCAGACAAGTCTGTTTATAATTGCAATTTGTAACACTTGGCTTATATAATTTTCATCCCCCATATTATAGAAAATAAGCATTTCTATCATGGTTAACAAATGCTACTTTACTGAGTTAGCTAAATCTGCAAACAAAAATTTACTAATATTAAGATTAAATGCATAAGTAAAAATTAAATCTTGAAAACTTTATACCTAGACATTTTTATTTTCAGTCTAGTTACCAATGTTTCATGTCAATACCTGTTTTGGTTGTTAAATGACTGGTTTACTCTCCTTTTAAAAAGTTTTATTCAAGGTAAGTAATTTGTTTTTAAATCTACACATTTACTTATTAAACTCAAACTTCTATACATCAGTTAAATCTACTCATCGGTTGAACTCAAACTTCTTTTTTTCCCTAATGTTATCCAATAAGGGACCAAGGCATTTATAGGTGACATCTCATGCACACAGGTAAGAACTGTGTTGATATGCAGTACAGGAAAAAATTTTACAGTGTTGGAAAGTAACATAAAGAGACAACTATAGATATAAATTTTTCTTTAGCAGAAAAAAAAACGCTTATTACATGCTTATATTTTAAAGGAACGCTGGTTATTTTATCTTAACCAAATGTTGATCTTGGAACAGTTGTAACTGCCTTTGTTTTTGGCTCAATCACTTGACTGCATTGATACATACTTTGTACAACATAGGTAGCTTAAGTCTCTCTTCATTTTTTAGTATTATTTAATTTTGATTTTCAAAGCAATCTCATCTATACTTGCTACTTTTCAATAGCATGCCATGAAAATTAGACAGAAGAGTACCTGACTCAGAGGTTGGGGGGTTGGGGGGAGGTGGTAGAGGGGCTGGGGTTTGAAAGAAGGTCAGGAGCATATGAATATTTAAGAAATAATGCAGGTCAGAGAGTATCCAAATATAAAAGTCACTCAAGGTCAAACTGAAACTGCTGTGGAGTCTCGGAAATCTGGCACTACAAAGAGGCCACTGTCAAAGGGCTAGGTCTGCCAATATGGCGGCTACCACCTTTAAGTGGAGCAGATCAATGATTGATCCGGTGGTACAGATCAATGACTAGTGTTCAGCCTCTAGGCCTGAGGAATTTACCTGAAATGTATTTATAAAGGGAGAAGAGACAGTATGATTTCTGCAGAAGGGTAATCAAGCTTGATTTATTTAGTGGAATACTTTGAGAGGGTAAATATGTACATTATAGAGGGAAGCCACATTTGTGATTTAAAAATGACTCTTTAATTTACCTGTCAAAGATCATTAAATATTAAGTCACTGAGAAGGATCTTGCAGGAAGACACTGATTTAGGAACAGAAAAACTAAAAAAATACTAAGAGTAAAAATAACATTAAAAAAAGATTAAATTTTAAAAATTGAAGTATAGCTAATTTACAGTATTATATTATTTTCAGGTGTGCAACGGTGACTCAGTATTTTTATAGATTTTACCCCGTTTAAAGTTATTATAAAATATTAGCTATATTCCTTACGCTGTATAATATATCCATGTAGGTTATTTATTTTATACATAGTAGTTTGTACCTTAATCCCCTACTTCTATCTTGCCCCTCCCCACTCCTGTCTTCCCACTGGTAACCACCAGCTTGTTCTCTATATCTGTGAGACTGTTTCTGTTTTGTTATATTCATTCGTTTGTTTTATTTTTTAGATTCCACATATAAGTGATAACATGGAGTATCTGTCTTTCTCTAACAAAAAATAACATTTAAAGTGTACAGAGTGTCTCATAGATTACTTCTGGAACTGTTTTTCATTATGAAAAATTTCAAATGTATATATCAAATCCTAGAATATTAAAATTAGAAGGCATCTTTGGAAAGTGACAATTTAGTACAGCAAAGAAATGAAAAATGTTAGCAGTAATTATTTTAAATTGTGGGACCAGGTCATTATTTTTTTTTCTATATACTTCTCTACATTTCCCAAATTTTCTCCACCAAATAGATACTGCTTTTCTCATTAAAAAAAAAAATGTTATTAGTCAAGGATAAAAAATATATAAATACCAAATAAACTAGATTAATGGAACAACTATATCCTCTGGCAAACACCCCTTGGTGACACAAAGAGGCTAAGAAAAAATTTTAGCACATGTGTTTGCATCATGTTCAAAGCTGTTGGGAGTCCTTTAGTGCAGCGAGGCCCTGATCGAGAACTGCTCTCACAACCTTTATTCTGCCGTATGAGTCTGTATCCACATCAGAAATTGACTGAAGAAATGTTAACTAACTAAAAAAAGTAAGCTGCCCCAATGCATTTGTAAATACCTATGACTATCTTATTAATATCTTTTTTCCTTTTTATTACTGGCTACTTCAGAAATCAAAGTTCAAGCTTATTTCAACCAGTGGTTCTTAACCCAGAATCACTTGAGGAACTTGAAAAGAACAGAGACCCTGATTCCCAGATAACTATAATGTGCAACTTGAAAATCTCTAATGTAGACAATACCATTAAAACATGAAGGTGACAGGCTGGTTTAAAGATTCCTTTTGGCAGAAGTAACTACAATGTTCTTTCTCAAGGTGCTGAAGTCAGTCACATGTAATCTGGTAACAGTGAATGTTCTTCAGCTTACATACTCCTTGGGAATCTCATTTTACTCAAGTCAGAGAGATGGGATAAGTCTATCTGCAGACGGAAGCAGCAGAAGTATTTCAGAATTCCCCTGGGCACCACACTCACCTGACCAAGGGCTGTTAGGATGATTGGGCTTGTAAGAAAAATCTGCACAGGGGAGTGGTCCTGTATGTGGTGGCACTCTCCTTGCACGTGGCATGCAACAGCTGAGGCCAGCTAAACACAGTACTCAGGATCCCACACAATGGGAGTTCGGTCCGCATTAAACAATTTCAATGATCTGCCTGAAATCTGACTCTTTCCAGATTTACTGAATTGGAAATACTAGATCTGCTTTCTCTCCAAATAGATCCTAGAAATAGGCTAGTGATTTCTTTCACTAAATCACCTCTGAAATATCTCTATCTATCTATCTTATTGAAGTATAGTTGATTTGCAATGTTGTGTTAGTTTCTGCTGTTTAGCAAAGTGATTCAGTTATACATATACATTCTTTTTATATTCTTTTCCATTATGGTTTATCACAGGATATTGAATATAGTTCCCTGTGCTATACAGTGGAACCTTGTTGTTTATCCATCCTATATGTAACAGTTTGCATCTGCTAACTCTAAACTCCCATTCCATCCCTCTCCCACCCTCCTCCCCCTTGGCAATCACAAGTCTGTTCTCTATGTCTGTAAGTCTGTTTCGTAGACAGGTTCATTTGCTTCATGAAATATCTGTATTTTAAAACTTAGAAACTGATCATCTCTGAAATTTACACTGAAACAGCACATGCTATCTGGCTTTTGCTACGTAAACTTTATACAACAGCTTTTGAATTAAAGCAGTAAAATATGACTCCCCCTCCCCCCCACCAAATACGTGATGCTCCATGAGCACCTTAGAATTTCATGCTCAAGTTCTTAAGAAAAAGGACTATCCAGCAATTCTCTTCTGGTTTGACTACTACAAGAATCCTAGGCAGCATTAAGGCACTGCTGCTAATAGCTAATGTATTTTTGTTTTAAGGAATTAGAGCAAGAGAAAGACTAATTAGTACTTGGGGGATGTTTAATAATTTACTTGAAAATGAGTTAAATGCTTCGCTTCCTGCTTTAATTCCTTCTTTGAACTAAAGGGTAATACAGGTTTAGTTTCCAATTAATTGCTAAATTATAAAGCTATTATAAAAGGTCCACTATTTTATAAAAATGAGAATGTATGAATTGGGGATGACACTATTTTCATAATTAACTTCAGCAATAAATAAGAAAACTTAAGTGGAAATATCTTGGAAATACACTTAGGCAATGCCAATATATTTCTGTTTACAACAAAGACATATTTTTACTTGAAATTTGTAAGTCCAAATGTTTACAAAAACCACCTAGAAAATGAGATACTTAACTCTAGCCTCTTTCTGAGGTTTGAGGTATGTTGGGCTAGTATGAATACAGAGCATCCTTTGATGTTACTGTTAGAAATAGCTTGATTTAAAAACCCATCACCAAAAAACTTACTCAACACAATTCTACGCAACCGTGTCACAGCTGG